ATACAATTAAATCAGCTTGGAACAAAAGAGTTAAACAACCCTTATTTTAGTATTGCTAATAATTTTTAATGCTAAAATATAGGGTGGTTTTACTTAGGAAATAATTGAAAGTTTCGATGATTTCGCAGATTCTAAAAATTGATATTCATGAATATAGACCTCTCGAAAGTATCTTTCTTTTATCGTTGAAGATTTTTGTTTCCACGTTCGACAGAAAAACCTATATATTTTTATATCATAACAATGAAATGCAAGAGATTTATTTAAAAGTAATTGGAATTAGAATGATTTAATTATTTACGATTTCAGGTCACGCTAAATTCATGTCTTGGGGACCGAGTATCATAGTTGGAGGTAAAGTCAAAAAGGTGGCATTCTACTTCGAGATAGAGCAAATGAACAAGAAAAGAGCAAAACCTAACCTGAAGGAATTCGAAATCGTTGAAATGTCCACTATTTGGGTGGAGTTATCTGGCCTTGGGCCGTTGACTTGGATCATGAAATGGCTAATGACTGGAATTACCAAGCTGTTAGAAGACTTCTTCGTAGAGAAAGTTACATTTTACATCCGAGAATATATGCAGAACGAATTTCAAAAACTGTCTTTTCCAGTCTAATTTCATCCTAATGTCAACATGTATGACAATGGCTTATTAATTGATTTACTAACTAATGTAACAGAGTCAGTTTTAACTGCGGTAAAAAAATAAAAGCAGGACTTGAATGGTAAACTAAGTAAATAACAATAGAAAATAGACAATGAAATGTCTTCATATGAACTAAATGAATTAAATTTAACAGTTTATCATGTCTATAAATGAATAAAATTACAGGAAAAAACTCAGCATTGTAGCATTTAGCATTCAGGTAGAGAGAAGAAGAAAACAAAAATTTACGGGTATTGATTAAAATAAAAATAGTTATCTAATAATGCATATTATGATAAAAACTTTACGTTGGAAAATTTATGGGAGAAATAATAAGAGTTTTATGATTTATGAATTTTCGAAATCTTCTGAAAAAAAAATCATTTCTAAGAAAGTATTTACGAAGCTCCTCTGACAGTTTTTAGCTTTTCTACTTTCCCTGTTGACAAATGCATGTTTTATGATTAGCTACCTCAGAAATCCATTAAATGTTATTGAAAAACCTTTTAATAGTTGGATAAATCTTTTAATAAATTTTATTACTGAATTCATGATATTGGTTTCTGTGTGTAACACCTATAAAAAGATATTTTTTCCTCCAGTTTATCTCGCTTTATTAAATCACATTGTATGTGATTTGTAAATTTTCCTTTATCAGTTCTTGATTAACATTCATTTTGCGTTCATTTTTTTAAAAGGCATTAAATTGCTGAGACTAGAAGTTTAGTGCATTAGAACTTTAATGTATATTTCACTAAGTTTCATACAAAAGATGATAACATTTCATTTCGTCTCTTACATTTTACCAAATATCATATAAGTATACGTAACCTTCTTCTCTGGAACAAATAGAATTGTGGGGTGTATTTAAAGCCAGTAGATTTGCTGATTAAATTTTCAGTTTTATGGACACACAAGAAAGCTATCTGCTGAAGAAATTTTTGAATGGCAGAAATCGGTAAAACTTTGGAAATTCTAATCTGAAATCCATCTCGTTTCTTTGTGAGCTTCTAGATCAATGTGTTGATTACTACATCATAAGATTACACGAAAGGAAAACCTTCAACTCTTAAAACTAACCCAAATAAAAGGCTATTGACAGAAAGGTAGATAGCACCTAATTTACCAGCCCAAGCATAACTATGAATTATTTTCAAGCATTTCAAATAGGATGCTATTTGTGGAAACCAGAAGGTTTGAGTGCAAGAAATCCTAAAAACGTGCTTCTATCCGCAACTGAACTAGAGATTTCCATTATTAATATATTACGTTTTACTTAATTTAAAATTAATTATAGAATAGATTTACTAACACTTATACATATGTGAGAAAAGCCTTTACTTGTTTATGGCTTCATTGCTCTTTGCAGTAGTTCTGCGATATTTTAATGTCGTATAAAAATACTTTGAAATTAAATCAAATTCATGCTCAGTTTATAGTCAGTTTTATTGAAACATTATGTGGATTTCGAAGACATTATGTGGAACATATTTTAAATTGGTAATGTTATTGGTACTTGAATTTATAAAGTTTATGTTAGTAGCATGCCTTAAGTAGAAAGAAACAATCTATTGTATATTTTAAAAATAAATAAAATGTATGCTTAATTAGGCTTTGAATGGAAAGACAGCCGCCTTTTCATGAGGCAGTGTGATTAGGGTCTTTAAGAGTTACTTGCTCATTGAAAAGAGACCTACATTAGAATTTCAGCCTTTTCATTTGAAATAATTATCAAATTAAGCTAGAATTTTATCATGTTTTACATATAAACAGAGGCCGATATTTTTCCTTTCGATGATAAACAGTACCCTAATTTTAAATGATTGTTAAATAACTTTTTATCTTCAATTACCATCGTAATTATGTATAAATCTGATGAGTAACAAATGGATGAAAATCATAACACGAAAGGCTAAATTAAAATGTTTGTGACACATATTTTACTATTTTAACCATTTTTTAGCCATCTGCAAGCAACTTATCAGGGACTACTTATTTTCTAAAATTGAGGTTTATGTAGTAGATGATAACGTTGCTTTATGTTTTAGAAATTTTACTAATGTAGTAATCTAAATGGTATTAAAGAATCTAAGGTTTAAAGGCACTTTACTGAAAGAAAGTTTCTAGGAAACTTTACTGCAGATATTTATTGAATCATTTAATGTTTATGTTTAGGTCTTCTCTTACTAATTTTTCACATGAAAGTTTGACTGTCTTACCTGAGAAAATCATTTTATTTAAAACCAGATTAAGAAAAGAATTATTTTGAGATAAAACGATCATTGTGATTAAAACTGAAATTTGCCGTTTTAAGACATTAAAGATGAACATTATACCGTTCCATAAAGTAAAAAAGCAATATATTAATTCCGATAATAGCATATATACTTTCAAGCCTTAGATTCCTTTTAATTTTATTAAAAAAAGCTATTCATGTTGCAAATCTGGCTCAGAATGTTATTCTTATGGAATAAATTAGATGAAACTATGAAAAGGAGATAAAAATTATTATGCTGTCTTTCAAAGAAAATAGAAAATAATTGCGGGGAAATTTTCAGAGTGTACTTTTAAACATAGTGACTTAGACCAGAATTAATTAATTAAATAAAGCTAACAGATTTTGATGAATGTAGAAAGTCTGAACTAAAATTTATAAGGTATTTTCTCATTCCTTTCCGTACGCCTTCGAGGTGTAATTGCAAGTATACTCGACGTGCTTTCGAAATGGTCCACGGTTCGAGTCTTAGAGAAGGCAATGTATATTTTTCAAGTCTCCTACTTCAAATTAATCTAATAACTCTACAAATTAATTCCAAAACGAAGAATAGTTTTGGATAGATTCAGAGGAATTCAGAAGATTAAAAAATAGTTATAGGGCCAACAATTATTAAGGATGGAAGATTTCTCAATTTCTCCTTTCTGGTATAGGATTCTTCATTGTGAAGTTTTTAATATATTTTAACTTAGTTAGAGTATGTTAAGCCACATATAAAATGATCATTAAGAATTCCCCATGAGTTAAAATTAAAACACAGGATCTTTAAAAGCTACGCAAGCGAATTGTTCCATAGCGGAAAATAACTTGAAAGTTAATTCATTCATTTAAAAAATAATTTAATTTTTATGCTGAGTTTGTCTATAGTATTAAATGTATCAACTATTATTTAAAAAGATTTACTTTTACGTCTTACCATTATATACAGTGCACCAGAATGAAGGGGCTTCCAGATCTGGCATGCTCAAAGCAGCCTTAACATGGTTATAACGCCCCAACCCCTAGAGGCTATCCGAGGAGGCGCCACACTCAACGGCCAACACAGAGGGATTTAAATATTTCATATAGTAGGCCATAAGCACACAAGCAAACGCATTCACCATAAACAGAGCAAAGTCCCTCAGTGTTGTCCAAGGGGAGCCTCCCTCCTAAGGACAACCTTCGATATCTGATCATGTAACGTCCCCACAACCAAGAGGCAGACAAGGCAGTACAAGTACGGGTCCCTGTCGAGCCTGAAACTACTACCGAATAAACAATGATTGTAGTCACTGAGAAAACAGTTTATAGGCCTACGTCGGATTTGGACAGCGAGAGGCTATGGCGCAGTGACGCCACGTAGTGACGTGCAATAGCCCACTTTCAGCCCACACTTATAGCCCACTTTCAGAAGGTCGGGACCAAACCCCGGGTCTTGTCCCATTAAATGGTCGGTTCCGGAAATCTGATCCAATCCTTCCTCAAGGGTGCATAACTATCTCAGCCACCATTATATACAGCTTTTCTCGTTATAAGAAATCATCGTAATTTAGCTTTCGACACATTTTCCTCAAACAAAATGCTTTATTTTCTCCACGAAGTTGGCTTCTCTCCAATTAATAATACTTCTTAGTTCATCCCTCAGCTTTTATGCTAAACGTTTGGTAAGTAAAGCTATTTATTCACTTACTGTTTTATGTGATAAAAGCAGTAAGCACAAAATGCGCACTCTGAAAATGGTTAGAAATGAATTATTGGTTTTCATATGCCATTTATTTGCTAATATTGCATATCCTTGGCTCACAATGCAAAAAAAAAAAAAAAAAATCGGGAAACGTTTAATATGATTATCAGCTTTTGGTGTCAAATATTTCAGCGACATTCCTTTGACAATAAAGAATTCGTGAACTATTTAGACTGTCTTATTGATACTTCGGAGGATTGTTGATAACTTTGAAAATTCCTAATACAAAAAGCATTCATTTATCAGTAAGCGTTTTCAATCTTGACAGCAAGAAATAGTTGACATTGTGCATATTTTGTTATAAAATGCAAGGCATACATTTTAGAAAGAATGAACTAATTATTCATAATTTCAGGTCATGCTAAGTTCATGTCTTGGGGCCCAAGTATCATAGCTGGAGGCAATATCAAGAAGGTGGCATTCTATTTTCAGATTGAGCAACTGAACAAGAGAGGAGCGAAACCTCACTTAAAAGAATTCGATATAGTTGAAATGTCCACTATCTGGGTGGAGATGTCTGGCCTCGGCCCTTTGACTTGGATCATGAAGTGGCTTGTAACTGGAATTTCCAAGCTGATGGAAGATTTCATAGTAGAAAAAGTTACTCTTTACATTCGAGAATATATGGAGAATGAGTTCCAAAAGTTGTCCTTCCCTGTATAGTATTGATCTTATGCAAATAATTTTGATAATAATGTATTTATTTATTCATGTTTAATTTATTTACTAACCAAAACAATAGCTGCATTGCAAGAAATCTGAAGTTAAAAACTAAAGAGTACTTCAAGAAAATTAATTCTGAGATGCCGAAATGGAAATCTGCCACTTGAACTAAAATTACTAGTTTAAGTAAATAGTGGAAAACTGCAAAATGAAAATAATAAAATTTACAGATTAAAAAAAACCCTGGAATTTCAAAAATATTTTTATAAAGTTTAAATGAATTTAAATGGAAAAAAAATTTAAATTCAACAAACTAATGGGAACTAATTTCCGTAAATTGATGTTCAAGCAAACTAATGTTCAGAAGTTAATATATAATATACTTACTATATCAAAGAAAATTTAATTTTTAATTTTTTTACTGCAGAATACCAATATAAGATATAAAAAGTTTTAAAGGATCAATATTTTATGCGTAATTAGAGAACAGTATTGATGCGTTTTAAAATAACGATACTAATACGAGTATCTCTGCAATACTTCTCAGCATTACCAAGTTCATTGTTCCTATATGTTTTGTAATCACTCCCCTCCAAACTATAGAATACTTTATTGTCAGCTTACCTTTTTGTAGCAAAATAAAACTTCTGTTAAATCTTCTAAATAATTTAAGATAAATATTTCCCCACACGTACCATATACACAAACGACACCTGTACGTAATTTTTTAAATCTTTGTTAGTACTTATTTTACCGACTTTTGTTTTGCTTTTATTTGAAAAGAGATGAAAACTGTGGAAATTGTTTGATACCGTTAAATGCATTGGAAACCTTCATAAATATTTTATCAAGTTTTGTATGGAACAACGAAAGGATTCACTGCTTGACATCAGGATGACCTGATACTAGAGAAAAATTTGAATTATCCGATATACGAGTAAATGGAATACTGGAACATATTTTAGATCAAATGTTTCACCCAGAAAGAATTCTTGATTTTCGTTTGCTTCTATGCAGTCTTGCTGACTCTTTTCAATGCAGTGCCTGTATTATTAAAAATCTGATGTGTACACCACATGACTTTCTTGTACGGAATATTAAATTATAAGCAGTTTTTTTTTTTTTTTTTTTTTTTTTTTTTTTTTTTTGCATTTCGTTAAACTTATTGGATTGAAATGAATCTACTTCGTCGATAGCACATAAACCACAATAGAATAAATGCACTCTTTAAAATTCACTATATTTGTTTACCATAGTGACACTCTGACGCTAAGTTCCCTAAAGAGCGTTACATTTCATTCATTTTATAACTCAGAATGTACAAAATTTATATCATCTGAAGAATTATCTAATCTTTGCCACATGCTTTATTCAAACATTATAATAAATCTAAAACGATGTATAAAAGAAATTAAACAAACAAACAAAAACAAACAAACAAACAAAAAAACCTTATTCTCAGACGATTTAGTATTTCTCATTCAATTAATTCAGTCCTCACTTCGCTACGAGGCTAAAATACATAAAAGCTCAAAATATCTATATTCAAAATTAATCCTAAACACTTATTTCCTCGAATAAATTCCAGAATGCATTAAGCATGATTTAATTCGCAATAATAAAAAGATTATCTTTGTTGTTTAGAAGCTTGGTTTCTCTAGATTTGCAACAAATCTACTATTCTGCAAAGCTTCAAATGTAAGCAAACATGACCGCCATGGCAAAATTAATTAGGTCTAGCCGCACTTAAACAACTTTTAAATTGTTGACAATTCTGCAAATATCATGCATGCAGATTTACTAAAGACATAAAAACCCTAACCAGAAGATAAGAACAACATAATCCAATCATTTTTAAAGGAAAAAATGCACAATATACAAACATATAGGAACATAAAAAAACTGAGATCACTAAGCCGAGTAGCAGAGTGGATATATGTATACATATATGTATATACTTTTGGTGCAGCCGATTGCAACCAAAATACGAGATGCACATCTACATGTTATAGTAGTCATATATACAAAATTTCAACTTTCTGAGGCTACTCATTTTCGAGTTATCGAGATGCGTACGTACGTACGTACGGACAGACCCCAAGAAAAATTCTCTTCAGAATTCATTTTAAATCAGTTTTAGAATTTTTTTGGGGAAAAGAGTCCTTTATTCTGCTGTTACATATAGATGTAAAGCAAAAACATTTTTAAATTGCATTCCATAGCGGTGAAAAGAGGTATTTTCGTTGAAATATAATGCCTGAAAAGTTTCGCTATTACAATACGTCCTTTTTACTTCGTACAAGGTAGTAAAAATTAAGCAAATTTCGTTAAAATATAATACCAGTTTTATTTATATCTTTTATACATTTCAAGAGACTGTAAAACTGTTTTTTTTTCTTGGTGGTAAAAATGTTTTGCAACAATTTTCAGAAATCTATTTTTTATTCAACAGAAATGAAAATAGAAAGTAACAAAGAAATCAACTGCACAGACATCTATTGGCTTAAATAGAAACGAAAATATTAGAAACTTGCCGAATAAGGCTTTTATACATCTTCTGAAGAACAGAGCTACAGTTACACTCTTTAGCTAATGTTGATAGTTTTTGTGAATATAGAAGGTTTAAAAAAACCTAATTCACAAAAGGGAGAATTTTTAAATTATAACAAACTAAACAAGCTATATGACCTAAAGTATCCAGATGCCTTTCCGAAGAAATGGTTGTGGCACCACTGAACGAGATAAAAGCATTTGTTGGTAATATATGTGCGTTTAGATAGAAAAGACGTAAGTTGGTAAACTTCCGTGGTATCGGATATGGGATGATCATTGGAGCCTTCGGTTGCATCAAGCGGATCGTGAAATTTATTTTTGATACAAGTGCCGAGATAAACCGTAGGTGATGTAGTTATAAAATGAAAGGTAAGAAAACAAGTGGCAGGTTGCATAAACTAATGATCGCACCATTAATTGCTAAAAGATTAGTGAAGAACAGTCGTGTGACCCCGGCAGCATGCATTTAAAAGTGCCTCTGGCTTTGTGACTAGCTTCAGGGTTTTTCATTCGGAACTCCAAAATATAGGCTTTTACGGTCGTATGACTGCTTACATACCCACTGTACATGAGGTAATAACCAATGGTCAATTGCAATGAAAGAAGTTCTCTGCTGTTAGACGGTATAGTAAAGTAACTTTGACATGATGAAATTCCATATATGATGTTGCATGACCGATTTCCATACATGATGTGGCATCAAGTATTGTGAATACCAGGAGTCACATCCAAGTACATTGTACCTAATGTCAAATTTGGATTCTGACGCATCATGTTTAGAGTCTATTTTATTTTGACGTTGCCCTTAGTTCATGGTGTAACGTATTTGCGTTGCTACGCTACCAACATAATTCCACTAAGAAATGTAAATTACCGCAGACGATTATCCTCAAAGAATATCCGCAGACGATGAGCGCTTAAAAATATTTTTCAGTTATTCTGTAAGTTTTGACTAATAAAGTTTGTTGTTCCTTCAGAAATGGCGAGATTTCTTTAAAACTTAATTTCAGACGTATACAAGAATAAATATCTGGTGGTAGTCGCTGGGATAGAAAGTGAAACCAGTGTTTATTTAAAAACAGAAGAAAATACAGTACTTGTGAGTATAAGTTTTAATGAATACTGTGCCATTTTGTATGAAAATGTTGCATCTTATTATTGAATTCAACTAAAAGAACGATATTCTAAGTTTAAGCTTTTGGATTAAAGTGTCAAAATATTGAATGATCTTTTAAAATTTGAGCTCTTGTATTAGAGTGGCAAATTTATTACGTTGATATTAGAATATTTCTATTATGAAATTTGAGCTCTTGTATTAAGTCGCAAATTTATTACGTTAATAGTAGAATATTGCTATTATAAAATGTGAGCTTTTGTATTAAAGTGGCAAATTTTTTACGTTAATATTAAAATATTTCTATCATGAAATTTGAGCTCTTGTGTTAGAGTCACAAATCAAGAATTTTACTGTGTGAATCAAGTTAAAGGCTTGAATTCTTTTTTATTTACTCTAGTATAATTTATTAAAAGCAAACTTCCCAGATTTTTGTTTATCGGAAAGCACATACGTTTTATTGCATTAAGTGTTTTAGGAAAAACAAATACGTTGTGTCATACTTGAATTTCTAATAAAAAAAAAAGGTTAGATTGAGCAAGTTGATTTGAAGTTTTGAATATTGACTAAAAGCCTTTTAAAATTAATTTTGAAAACGCTATCGAAGAATTTTTCTATTTCCAAACAAGTCGTGTCTTGCCAAGGGTAGAAAACACGATTTAATAGACGTAGTCGAAGAATTAGGCGAGGAAGTGCCGCTAACTAGTAAGGTCCCAGAAATTAAAAGAAAATAATTACTGAAAGTCAGTTTTACGATGAGGAAGAAGTTAAACTAATTCTAGACCGAATAACTGCTGAACGCCTGGTTCGAGAAGTGAGAGTAGCTCAAAAAGCGAGAGAAGAACGTCTGGCTCGAGATGCAAAAGCATAAGAATTGGAAATAAAGCTGCTTGAAATTGAAAATAAAGTAATACGAGCTAGAAAATCAACAGCGAATATAGTAGAATCAAGCAACAAAATCCAGTTGTCACAAATTGCTCCAAAGTTTGACGGAAAAAGTGATGAAATGGGACTATATTTGATCAATTTTTAGAGAAAAGCTGAAATGGCTCAGGCTCCTAAGAAAGATTAATCTTAAGAGGATATGAACTTAACAGTGAAAAGCTGAAACAATGCTTTTATCGACACCAAACAACTCCTGAAAAATCTTGGAAAAATTATGCTCATGAACTTTATAATTATTTTTTGGAGCGGATTGCGGATTTAGAAATTAATACATTTGAGAATCTGAAATATTTAATAGTTACCGAAAAAATTAAATATAGGGTTCCCATGGAAGTAAAGGATCATTTTCTCGACCAATGGATGAAATAAAAATCTCCATATGAGCTAGCAGAAAACCTTAGACGAGTATGAGAGTATTAAACAGAGCTTTAAGAGGTAAAACCCTAGAAAGCACGGTTTGAAATTTCAAGAGAGTCATCAAAACGCGAACAAAATACAAAGTTGTTATCAAAATAGACATAATCCTAAAGAAATCTCGAAAGATTTTAATCATAAACCTATAATTAGGACAGAATGTACTCTAAAATTCAAGAAAGGTAATTTGAGAAACGGAAACAACCTCGTTGTTATGAATGCGGATAGTACTGGCATCTTCGCCCCCAGTGTGATAAACTCAAGAAGAATTTAGAAATTGTTGCATCCAATGAAACTTATACCCTCAAATGAATTTTACAAAAATAGTTTTAAAGATATTATGACTCCATATACCAGCCTAGGTAAAGTAAATGGCTATAAAATGCCCATACTTAGAGATACTGGTGCAACTTTGGATTTAATTTGCCGAAAGTATGTACAGCCTTTCATGTATACGGGTGAGACCGTGTGGATACGAACACCTCTGGAAGAACATCTAGTGTGCTTACCTTTAGCTGAGGCAGAGCTTGAATGTGATCTTGGTCATATAATAACAAAGGCTGCAGTCTTAAGAGATTCATTAGATCAAGGAAGGTATCTTGTAGGTAACAAAACCGCTGAATTATCTGAAGAAGCAAAACTAGATGAATAAGTTCAAATTCATATGATAAATGCCATACAATTTCGTGCTCAACAGCGACGACTAAAACGGAAAATCTGGTTTCAACAAATGAGTTAAATTCTGAAATTGAACTTAACGACAAAGACACATTGACTGAAAATGAAAGTTTGCCACCTGTGAAATATGAACGTTCAGAATTAGATCTGATAAAGGCCTCTGTAGAAATATTTATACAAAAACAGAAAGAGAGCGTCGAATTGAAGCCGATTTATGAAGAAGCTAAAATAAAATCTTCTAAGAGTATGAGGCATATGTTGAAAATACAAATGCTATTTTTCAAAAACGAAGATCGTGATGGAACACAGATTATTGATTGTTGTTCCTGAAAAATATCGGAAACAGTTGATGACTATTTGTCATGAAGAAA